CATTTCTTTCCTATGTTGGGCATTCCTGGTTTCTATTTCTTTTTTCTTTTTATTTTATTTATTTATTTATTCATTTATTTATTTATTGGTACTGGGGATCAAACTTGGGTCCTTGCGCTTGCAAGGCAGGTGGAAAAACCACTGAGCTAAATCCCCAGCCCTTCTATTTCTTTCCTGTGTTGGGCATCTATGGCTTCTACCATGATCCTGAACTCATATATTTTTTAGTCAGTTTCTGTTCTGAATCTCTAATCATGTTTTTCATTGTACTCACCACACCATCTCTGTAGTTATCTGGGAAATTATTTCTGTTTTGAATTTTTCTGCAGCCTCATTTATCTCTTGTTACTCCCTATGCTATGCTATGAGTTCAGGATGTTCTGATGGTTGATTGTCAGACTTTCCCACCTTGTTTGCCATAGAATTTGCCATTGGTGACCTGTAAATCTGTTTTGTGCCTTGCTTAAGTGTTTTCTCGTGTTTATTTTTGTTGTTGGGCTGTCCTTGGTTTAATTCCTGGGTTAGTACTTTGATCTTCCTGATATAGCTGCACTTTAGGGTTTGAAGTCTCTAATGACTCATAGACACTCTCATTTTCATAATATCAGAAAGGACAATTCATTAAATCAATCACAACACTTTAGCCCAATTGATTCAATCAGCAACACAAGATCATAAAGCCCAGCTTAGAAATTGATCATTTGTGGTAGTTATTAATCTATCACCTTTAAACCATGTGAATTAAATCAAAATCAAGGACCAGCCCAAAATATGTTTATAGTGAGTAAACTCTTCAGTATAGCAACTTTACCCCTCAGGATGGGGACTTAGGAGTTCTGAGGAAAGGAATAGATAGGTAGAAGGATAGCAGAAGGTTTCAAGTGAAGCCAGAGGACCAGGATGATCACAGAAACTCTAGGAAACTGTTGAAGATAAGAGGGAAAGACAGAGTGCAAGAATAAAGACAAGACTAGAACAACTTAACATTAATAGGGTAGCTATAAATTGCACTCACTTTCCTTTATAACTAATGACAATTGAGAGAAGGAAAAAGAAAGAAGAATAGAAAAAGAAAGAAGAAATCTGAATTAGGTCAGGAACAGGAACAAAAAGGGAGATAAGGAACAATGTGGGGGAGCAAAAGATTGTGAAAAGATGAAAGAATAAAGGAAGAATTTTAAGAGTGGGGAAAAACAAAAATCTAAAAATAAAAATTAAAAATAAGAGGAAAGAAAGAGAAAAAATTAAAGAACCTCCTTCAGGGTGTATCTCTGCTGTCACAATAGACAATGTGGGCAGTAATGTACAGAACTATGTCAATTAGTCTCAGCAAGCCAACAGCAGACCCCTGAGATTTGGGCTAAATTCTCGCTGCAAGGCTCAAGTTGAGCTCCTTGATCTCCTGCAGGGTTAGACTCTATAAGGTTCTATGGCAGGTTCCAGCGGCCCTTACCCTGAAGATAGCCCAAGATCTGATTGAAGGTGGTGATCCCTCCAACTTTTCAACTATGGAAGTCTGGTGTGACTTTATAGCAGTTGTTCACTTCTGTTCTATCTTCTGGAGCTCAGAACGATGGCCTTTATGATCACTTGTGCCTCTGCAGTGTGGATCCAGGTACTAGCACAACTAGGAGGCTTGAGATCATGGTGAGGATGTTGCAGTGGTACCCATGCACTGGGCAGTCTTCACTGGTCTGTCCTGTGCCTTCTTGTTTTTAAGAGATTTTTCTTTTCCTATTCACTAATTGCAATCCTATATTCTATACTGAAATTCTATCTTTGCATTGCATTTGCATTCTACTGCATAGACTTTCAGTGGAGTTTTTAATCTTTTAGATATTTTCTTGCATCTGTTTTATGGATTCCATTTGTTTCTTATATTGAGTTTCCATCATGTTCCTCAGCTCTTCTATTTTTTTATTTATGGCCATTCTAGATTTTTCAATCATATCTTGCACTTTGGGCACAATCTCTGCTGTTATCTGAGAAATTATTTCTGACTTCATTTGTCCAAATCCTCTTTTGTTGCCAGTTCAAGGAGTACAGATAGTTAAGTGTCAGATTGTTCCATCTTGTTTCCCTTTGGTATTTCCTTAGGTGATTTGAAAGCTTGGTTTGGGGACTTACTTCTCATTTCAACGGCTGCAGCCTGCTGTTCCTGTATTGAGACTTTTTGCTCACCCAGTGGTCTTCAATTCTTAGCAAGCCACCAAGAGGCCTTTTCTCTGCATCTCACCAGTACAGCAATTCCTGGGTTCAAATCACTGATGCTATGGGGTGGGCCTCTGACAAGCTTTTATAACTGCAGCTTTTTCCTGGGTGGACCTTGGCTGGGTGGGCTTTCCCCAGCCTCTGGGGTCAGGGCGGATTCCTAGCTGAGAATCTTCCTGCAACCATGCTGGTCTGGACCACAATACTGCACCCAGGGATCTGTACACTCTCATAGATGCTATGAGGTAGGCTTCTGACTTAGAAGCTTTTTAATAAGAAGAGATCCCACTTGTTGATTCTTTGTGCTAGTTCATATGCAAATGAGGTTTTGTTCATAAAATATTTTCCTACACCAATGTATTTAAGAGTTCTACCTAACCTCTCTCCTAGCCAGTTCAGTGTTTCTGTTTTAATATTTATGTTTTCAATCTATTTCTATTTTAGTTTAATGCACGTTAAGAGATATAGATCTAGTTGTAATCTTTGGCAAGTTGAAACTCAACTTTTCGTGCACCATGTATTAAAGAGGCTATCTTTCCTCCAGTGAGGGTGTTTGGCTCCTCTGTTGAAGATGAGGTGGCTGAGTGTATCCGGAGTTGTTTCTGCATCTTCTAATCTGTTTCACTGGTCCTGAGGTAGAATAGTTTCTCTGTTTTGAGAAACTGAACATGTAAATAAGGATCAAAATGTATAATAGGTGATGTAAAATAGGAGGAAAAGGTGCAAAGGGGCAGAGGAAATTAGAGAAGTAGGGGAAATCAAAGAAGGGAATGTAATTAATATGATAAAATTAAAAATGGAAACAAAGTCTTTGTAAATAGAGTGGGGAAAACTGGTTGAAAGAATGGGAAAAATAAAAATCAAGATATATTATGCAAATGTACAAATCTCCAATGATGAATGTCATTATATTGTTACCTAAAATGTACCAATACAATTAATTTTAAAAAGAATGGATTTTTAACTTGTGTTCTGAGTTTATGCTTAGATTGATGAATCATTTCAAATTATTATGAAAGATGTTAAGTCTAGAATCTTTTTTTAGGAAAGATGAATGTCTCTGTTGAAAAGTGTATTCTTTCTGCATTGAATTGCTCTTATTCCTCTTTAAGAGTTAAGCTGACTGTATTGTGTTGATCTGTTTCTAAACTCTGTTCTAAGTAATATATTTACTGTCTTCCTTTTTTTTACTTTACCTTGCTGTGTTCTATAATTTCGTAGTAAGTCTTAAAATTAGATAGCATCAATCATTAGTTTCTGTTTTTCAATACTGTGTTAACTATTCTCACTACTCACCTTTCAATATAAGCTTTAGGATAACTGTTGATAGCCATAAAATGGTTTACCAAGGTTGTGATTAAAATTGCATTAAACTTATACTTCAAAATGGAAGTAATTGAAATCTTAAAATACTGGGTCCCTCAACCTGTGACATACTTTATTTATTGATGCCTTTGATTTTTTTCAGATTCTCATTTTATTTATTTATTTATTTAATTCACCACGTTTATTTGTACAATTTAGGTATGCATTATGATCACATTCATCATTTGAAATTTGTATCTGCACATGAAATATCTTGGGTATTCTTTTTTCTTCTTTCACCTTTCCTTCCTTCCATCCCTCTACCCCTATTTCTAAAAAAAAAAATTTGTTTCCATTTTCCTTCTTTTCTCATATTTTTTCTTTCCTTTCTTTTTATTTATTTTATTAGTACATTTTTTACAGTACATGATGTTTACATTTCTTTCATGGAGCTGATACATTATATAACACTTCCTAATTTTTTCATCCCCTTTCCATCCCCTTTTTCTTCCCTTTCCACCTCTCAATCCTCTTCCTATTTGAGAAAGATCTAACTCCCTACTTCCTATTATCTTTTAGTTTGCTGTCAGTAATAGCAACACTGATGATCTCCAAATATGACACCAAATATTAGAAGTCACAGTTTTTCTGAATTATATAATATATATCTACAAAAATAGAAATATCATACTATACTATATTTATAGCTTTCTTTTGTTTGAAAGAAACAAACGATATCCTCCATTACTTCCACTTTATATCTTGTATTAGATGTGCCAGTAACATCAATAAGGCAAGAGGAAAAGAAAAAAATCATCTCAATAAATGCTGTTTTAACATAACTCAGTAAAATTTTTGGTAAAGAAAGTATAGCTAGTTTTTTATCCTATTGAAACCCTCATTGATACCCCTCTTTCAGGATCTCCCAAGATAAAATGTGCTAGTATACTCCAAAGTTTGGAACTGTCCTTCGAACAGAAGCCTATGCATGTAGGCTTATCTTCCATTTTCCTCCTTTGAACTTTATGCTAGATTATACTTTACTCTCTGTGGCTTTCCAAATATGTGCTGTATTACAGAATTATATTTTTTTAAATGCACAGACCTTCCTCTGTATGCTAGAATTTCTTGTTACCTCAAAACTAAACTCAGATTCTTCAGAAAAATAAATTACTCTTTCTTCAGTAATTCCCCAATACTCTGTTTATGGCTGTATCGTTTCTAAGTTATAATTTTTGAGATGCACATATCTCTTTCTATTTCTTACATTAGGAGGTAACTCCCTTTGAGTTGACTTCTCTGAGATGTCCTTTTTTCTCTACATTTGTAGAACTTAGTATGCTGTATGGCTAAGGATGAGTTCACTTACTGCATTGGAATAGTTACTTAAAAGCACCTGATCTGAAAATAATTAAATGAAAAGAATTATTTGTACTGTGGCCATGTGTACACATGGAGATGATACAAAAACTACAGGAGTATACCAAACTTATGCTGGATGCCTGCAGGATTTGTTCTTCTCAGATGAGCTCTTTTTTGAAGACACTTGATTGTTGAGTTGATTGATGCAGTTCTTTACAACTCGTCCTCAAGTGGAGGAAAGTCCTTAGGTGTACAGAATGTTTCAGGGTTGCCTAGCAACTAAAACCTTCTATATTGCCCACTTCTCTTAGTGGTAGTAGAAGAGCATCTCATCCAGCCAGCCAGTGTTTCTGATCATGAGCTCCAGAGTCTAACTTTCTAAAGACTTTAGATAGAAATGAATGTGCTGTGTCAGAATATTAAGAACAAATATTATTTTTTAAAATTTAGGAATAAGGTGGTCTGAAGTGCTAAGATTTTTATGAGCAGAAATATTCTCCACAACATTTTTTAATTTACTTTATGCCAAGTACAAAGGAAAATTGGTCTTTAGAATTAATAAAGATAAATGCCTATTTTGAAAATGAAACTCCTAGGTGAATTTTATGAGATTATTATAAAATACATTTTTTCTCAAAATAAATTAATGAAAATTGATTAAATTGTTAAATTATTTAACTATGAGTTTGAAATTAACTCATACTAAGAAATGAATTGGTGGTTTTGTGCAAATTAAGAAAAGGAAGACATATAAATTCTATTTGTCCTTAATATTCAAATTTAGACATTTTCCAGTTCTATCAATTTTAAATCAATATTTGAACATTTGTATAACTAATGCCTTCAGAGACATGGATAGTGGCCAATAGTATATAATACCATATTTTACCTGAAAATTCACCCATTTGGCTCAACTCATTCATTCAACAAATGTTAATATATATATTCTCTATATTGTAAATATGGCACTAGATGAAGGCACACAACGAGGAGACAAATAAGCAAATCTATACCCTTTTACAATCACTGGATTTTCCCATGTCCAACCCTTTGAACCTCACTACGGTATAAATGAAGGACAAGAAAGAGAAGTTTCCCCCCACCATAAACGCTGTATGATATGGTAAGAGTAAAATACTAGAAAGACTCCCCAACATCAAAACCTTGTGCTTTCTCAGGATGACAAAGTGATATGGATAGCGATCCTATATTGTTCAAGTCATTTTGTGCAACACACATAGCCCCTTCTGTTGGAGTAGTGGATAAGAATGGCAAATCTAATATGGGTCTATATTAGTATAATCAACTCCTTTAAGAGAACAGTCTCAAAATGATATTAGGAAGCATCTAGGCAAAGCTAACCTTGTAACTTTATTTCTTAATTAAAGTAAAATCATGTAATATACATATTATTATATAGCATTTTGCAAAATTTTCTTTTTTAGAAGCATATCTCTACAGCAAAAAATATGAAAATGCTAACTCCTTCAAAATTCTTGGTGGTAACACAACTAAAGTGAATGGCTAAAGGTGCCTAATAGACACACTGAATACAGCTATTGGTAAATTATTTTAAAGGAAAATGGTCTTCCCTTATATTTCCTATAAAACTTTTTTATTCATAAATCAGACAATATTTATGAAAGAAAAAACACTTCTATTCCAAAAGAAGAAACACTTCTATTTCTTGTTGAGTCTATTGATGAGTTGCTATATATGAAAATATTAAAGATTGAGCAGAGATTTTTTTCACTTGTAATTTTAGTAATGATTTGTACTGAGCATTGGAAGTTAGTAGTTTCTAGTCACATTATTTCTTTTAAATGTAACCCAAATATTCTGGGTCATAGAATCTGATTATATTATGGGATAGATAAATCCTTCTTAAGTATATTGAGTACACTGAAGTGATATAGGATCATATCAAACTGATTGCCAGAATAAAATGTCACTTTAACCTGAAAATAAAATTTTGCCATTGATTACTCATAGTTCTTTGAAGTGTATGTTTTGCAAACTAATGTGTTTCAGCTCCAGTCTTCCTCCATTGTTCCACCTTCTACTCATTCCCATTGTGTACCGGCTTGTGAACCATTTTGAGGAGGAAAATCCATGACATGTAATTCCTATACTCATGCCTAGATCTCAGAATGTGAGACCATGGTGAGAACCAGACAGACTCAACAAGGAAAAAGTCTTTTCAAACATATATTATACTTTAGATCACAAACAAGCATACCACTTCAGGAAGTATTCTCAAGTTGATTCATCAGCCTTTGTTCATAACTCTTTGATCAGAATGTCATTCAGACTAAATATTGTTAATTTCCTTTGGTCTTTTTTTAATTCCCTGCCTTAAAATAGACAATAATGATTGACTTATTTTCACATTCATCTATTCTTTCCACTGCTCACTCAAAATTCACTGTTAAATTCTAGTGAATTTTTCATTTCATTAGTCATGTATTTCAACAGCAAGATTTTATCAGTTCTTATTTTTTCTCTTTATTGATGTTATACATTTGGTGATAAAATTTATACTTTTTATAGTTTTTTAAAAAATTTAAATTGAATTTATTGGTACATTCTAAGTAGACAGTTCAGTTACATTCATTACTGGGATCTTGTACCTTTACATGACAGGTCTTGGTTCTCATTTTTTTCCCCTTGTCCCCACCCTTCCTTCACACCCTCCTCCCCTCCCCCCTACAAATACTTTAATTCCATTTTTACATTTTTTCACATTTTTACCCTTTCCCTTATTCCCCTTCCTCTACCCTTCTCAGTGTCCCTACACCTTTAGTCCTTTTCTTCTTGTTTCACATTGCTGATTAACCCGTTAGGATCTTGAGTACTATTTTAGTTTTTCACACCAGAGAAACTATTTTGTATTTACACATGTGTGACTTATTTATTTCACTTAGGTGTATAACTTCAAAATGTACCCATTTACCTATGAATGAATCTACTTTCTCATTCTTTATGGCTGAGTAGTATTCCATTTTATAGAAAAATCACATTTTCTTTATCCAGTTTCCAACTGATGGGCAGGTGGGCTGTTTCCAAGTTTTAGCTATTACAAACTGGGCCCTATAAACATGGGTGCACATATATCACTGTGGTATGATTCTTTTAATTCTTTTGGAAAGATACCCAACAGAGGGATGGCAGGGTTAAATAGAACCTCTAATCCTAGTTTGTTGAGTTATCTCTATATTGATTTCCACAGTGGTTGCACCAGTCTGCACTCGCACCAACAGTGGAGAAGGGTTCCTTTCTCCCCGCAACCCCACCAACATTTGTTATTCTGTGATTTTTTTGATAGCAGCCATTCTTTGTGGGGTGAGGTGAAAACTCTGTGTTGTTTTCATCTGCATCTCTTGAATGACCAGTGACTTGGAACATTTTTTTATATATTTATTTGCTGCTTTTATTTCTTTGTCTGAGAAAAGTCTGTTCATTTCAAATGCCCATTTTTGAATTGGGTCTTTATATTTGGGGGGGTGGTTGTTTTGAATTCTTGATATATTCTAGATAAAAGTCCTTTGAGGAGTAGCAGGTAAAAAGTTTTTCCCACATTATAGGTTGTCTCTTAGTTCTGTTAATTGTTTCTTTTGCAGTGCAGAAGCTTATTAATAAGATGAGATCCCAGTTGTTGATTCTTTCTCCTAGTTCCTGTGCTACTGAGGATTTGTTCATAAAGTCTTTTCCTATACCAATGTCTTCCAGAGTTCTGCCTAACTTATCTTCCAGCAAGTTTAGTGTTTCTGTTTTTATATTTAGATCTTTAATCCACTTAGATTTTAATTAGTGCATGGGGAGAGAAAAGGGTCTAGTTTTAATCTTTGGCAGATTGAGATCCAGTTTTTCCAACACCATTTATTGAAGAGGCTATATTTTCTCCAGTGGGGATGGTCAGCTCCTTTATCAAAGATGAGGTAGCTGAGTGTATCTGGAGTCTTTTTTGTGTGTGTGCCTTCCAATCTGGTCCACTGATCTTCAGGTCTGTTTCTTTGTCAGCACCATGCTGTTTTTATCACAGTGGCTTTGTAGTATAGTTTCGAATTGGGAATTGTTATACCTGCTGCCATGTGTCTGTTGCCTAGGATGGCTTTTGCTATTCCAGGTCTCTTATGGTTCCAAATGAATTTTTGGATTCTTCTTTCTATTTCTGTCAAGTACAGTGTTGGAATTTCAATTGGCCTTGCATTGAATCTGTATAGCAGTTTTGGTAGTATGGCCATTTTCTCTATGTTGATTCTTCCTACCCAGGAGCAGGGAATGTCTTTCCATCTTCTTATATCCTCTTCAATCTCTTTTTTCAGAGTGCTGTAGTTTTCAGTGTAGAGGTCTTTTGCTTCTTTTGTTAGGTTGATTCCTAGATACTTCATTTTTTTGGATGCTGTTGTGAAAGGAATTGTTTCCCTAATTTCTCTATCAGTGCATCTGTTGTTTGTGTACAAGAAGGCTATTGATTTTTGTGTGTTGACCTTGTATCCTGCTTCTCTGCTAAAAGTGTCTATTAAGTCTAGAAGTCTTTTGGTGGAGTTTTTTTGGGTGTTCAATGTAGAGCATCATATCATCAGCAAATAATGACAGTTAACGTCTTCCTTTCCTATCTTTATTGCTTTAATTTCTTTTTCTTGTCTACTCACTATGGCTAATGTTTCCAGAACTATATTGAAGAAGAGTGGTGATAGTGGGCATCCTTGTCTTGTTCCTGATTTTAACGTGAAGGTTTTCAGTTTTTGGCCATTTAATATGATGTTGGCTGTTGGTTTTTCATAGATAGCCTTTATTAAGTTGCAATATAGACCATCTATTCCAATTTTTTTCAGGGCTTTTATCATGAATGGGTGTTGAATTTTGACAGATGCTTTTTCTGCATCTACCGAGAGGATCATGTGGTTTTTGTTCCTGACTTTGTTAATATAGTGTATTACATTTATTGATTTACACATGTTGAACCATCCTTGCACCCCTGGAATAAATCGACTTGGTCAGGATGTATGATCTTCTTGATGATCCTCTGTATTCTGTTTGCTAATATCTTGTTAAGGATTTTTGCATCTATATTCATTAAGGAGTTTGGCCTATAGTTCTCTTTTTTAGTTGTGTCTTTCCATGGTTTGGGAATCAAAGATATACTTGCCTCCAGGAATGAATTTGGAAGTATTGCTTCAGTTTCAATTTCATCGACAATTTTAAAGATTAAAGGCAGTAGTTCTTCTCTAAATGTCT